CCCTTCGTGGTGAAATCAGACCCTCATGACTAACAAAAAACCTTTTGTAAGATGAGTAGTTCATGGTACTGAACTCCCCCTCCACTAAAACCTTATGTGTTGGCCTTTCCCCGCTGCCACTTTGGAGCATCTCTCAGAACTGCCTGAGATGCTGCCTCCTGGGCTGCAGTCCTCATTTTGCCCCAAATAAAACTTAACTCACAACTCTAAAGTTGTACATCTCTTTTAGTCAACAGAATGAAAACTGACCTTTTCCAGTCCTATGGCCACTGCTGAATTTTTCAAATTTACTGACATATTGAGTGCAGCACCAAAAGCATCATGTTTTAGGATTTGAAATAGGTCAGCTAGAATTCCATCACTTCCACATTACTAGCTTTGTTCATAGTAATGTTTCCTAAGGCCCACTTGACTTCAATTCCAGGATGTCCAGCTCTAGGTGAGTGACTATCGTGGTTACCTGGGTCCATCTGGGTCTATCATGGTTATCTGGGTCATTAAGACTTTTGTACAGTTCTTCTGTGTATTCTTGACACCTCTTCTTAATCTCATCAGCTTCTGTTAGGTCCATGCCATTTCTGTCCTTTATTGTGCCCATCTTTGCATGAAATATTCCCTTGGTATCTCTAACTTTCTTGAAAAGATCTCTAGTCTTTCCCGTTCTGTTGCCTTCCTATATTTCTTTGCATTGTTCACTTAAGGCTTTCTTATATTTCCTTGCTATTCTGTGGAACTCTGCGTTCAGTTGGGTATATCTTCCTCTTTCTCCTCTCCTTTGCCTTTCACTTATCTTCTTTCCTCAGCTATTTGTAAGGCCTCCTCATACAACTATTTTGTCTTCTTGCATTTCTTTTTCTTTGGGATGGTTGCAGTCACTGCCTCTGGTACAGTGTTACAAACCTCCGTCTGTACTTCTTCAGGCACTCGTTTATCAGGTCTAATCCCTTGAATCTATTTATCACTTGCACTGTATAATCCTTAGAGATTTGATTTAGGTCATACCTGAATGGCCTAATGGCTTTCCCTTCTTTCTCCAATTTAAGTCTGAATTTGGCCAATAAAAAGCTCATAATCTGAGCCACAGTCAGCTCCAGGTCTTGTTTTTGCTGACTGTATAGAGCTTTTCCATCTTCAGCTGCAAATAATATAATCAATCTGATTTTGGTGTTGACCATCTGGTGATGTCCACGTGTAGAGTTGTCTCTTGTGTTGTTGGAAGATGGTGTTTGCTGTGATCAGTGTGTTCTCTTGGCAAAAGCCTGTTAGCCTTTTTCCTGCTTCATTTTGTACTCCAAGGCCAAACTGTGTGTTACTTCAGATATCTCTTGACTTCTTTGCATTCCAGTCCTCTGTGATGAAAAGGACATCTTTTTTGGGTGTTAGTTCTAGAAGGTCTTGTAGGTCTTCATAGAACCATTTGACTTCATCTTCTTTGGCATTAATAGTTGTGGCATAGACTTGGATTACTGTGATGTTGAATGGTCTGCCTTGGAAACAAACCAAGATCATTCTGCTGTTTTTGAGATTGCACCCAAGGACTGCATTTCAGACTCTTGTTGACTGTGAGGGCCACTCCATTTCTCTCCTGGATTGTTGCCCATACAAGTAGATACAATGGTCGTCTGAATTAAATTTGCCTATTCCCATCCATTATGGTTCACTGATTCCTAAAATGTCAGTGTTCACTCTTGCCATCTCCTGCTTGACCACATCCAACTTACCTTGATTCATGGACCTAACATTCCGTGTTCCTATACAATATTGCTCTTTACAGCATCAGACTTTACTTTCACCACCAGTCACATCCACAACTGGGCGTTGTTACTGCTTTGGCCCAACCTCTTCATTCCTTCTAGAGCTACTTCTCTGCTCTTCCCCAGTAGCATGTTGGACACACCTACTGAACTGGAGGAGGGATGGGGAGCTTATCTTCCAGTGCCATATCTTTTTGCCTTTTCATACTGTTCGTGGAGTTCTCAAAGCAAGAATAATGAAGTGGTTTGCCATTCCTTTCTCCAGTGGATCACATATGTAAAGTCCTAACAAAACAAAGAGCTCTTACAAAGGATAAGAAAATGGTTAGTGACAATAGAAGACTGTAAAAAAAACTATGTACACAAAAGCAAACCTAACAAACATGAAAATATGCTGAAATTCTCTTCATCAGGAAAATTCAAATTAAATTAACATTGAAACATCACACTAGTAAAACCTGAATAAGAGAAAGTTACTATTGCTAGAGGGGATCTAGGTCAAAGAGTTCAACTCAAACTTTGCTGGTGGAAAATGTGAGGAGTTAGAGTCTTATTCACATTTTTGGAGAGCAATGCAGAAACATATATTAAAATGTAAGGTATATATATATATATATATATATACCTTTGGGTCAATAATCCTACTCCTGGGAATCTACTCCACAGAAATATTAATAAAACCTCTACTATATACTGCCATATGGAAAATGATCTATATTTTGTAGCATTGTAATGTGGTAAAGCAAACCAAAACTGGAGCCACAGTAAATCTCCATTATTATAGAAATTGATCTGTAAATTACAGTATATCATAGAATATTGTCCAGGCATTATGAGTTGACACTGGAGAAATTCAATGATGTATTCAGTTCAGTTCAGTGCTCAGTCATGTCTGACTCTTTGCGACCCCATGAACTGTAGCACGCCAGGCCTCCCTGTCCATCACCAACTCCCGGAGTCCACCCAAACCCATGTCCATCGAGTCGGTGATGCCATCCAACCATCTCATCCTCTGTCGTCCCCTTCTCCTCCTGCCCTCAATCTTTCCCAGCATCAGAGTCTTTTCAAATGAGTCAGCTCTTTACATCAGGTGGCCAAAGTTTTGGAGTTTCAGCTTCAACATCAGTCCTTCCAGTGAATACCCAGGACTGATCTCCTTGAGGATGGACTGGTTGGATCTCCTTGCGGTCCAAGGGACTCTCAAGAGTCTTCTCCGACACCACAGTTCATCAATTCTTCGGCCCTCAGTTTTCTTTATAGTCCAACTCTCACATCCATACATGACCACTGGAAAAACCATAGCCTTGACCAACGATGTATATTTGAGTGAAAAAAAAGAATGTGGAAAGTGTGTATAATGTGATCCAGTTCTTTTTTAAAAGAACATGTTAAGATGCCTCTTTTTAAAAATACATGTATACATGTGTTTGTATATATCTCTGCAAATTCATAGCATGGAGAAAAATAGGGGAAAATAAATACTAGTTGTTAAATTATGTAGGTTGAGAGAGGGTAGTAAAGGGAAGATGAAAGGGAGGGAGTGAGGGAGGGAAGGAAAAGGGGTGGGAGAAAGAGAGGAAAGAAGGAAGGGCAGCAATTTATGGGGGTAATAAAGAATTTAAGGCAAACAAAAATGTTTTCATGTGTACACACATATGTCTATGCAGCTACCTCACAGATCAAGATGTAGAAGATATAGAATGTTCCTCAGGTTAAAAACTTCTACAGATTAGTAAATAAAAGACTAATAACCCACTGGGGCTTTACTGGTGGCTCAGCAGTTTAGGAATCCACCTGCCAATGCAGGAGATTCGGGTTCAGTCCCAGGGTTGGGAAGATCCCCTGGAGAAGGAAATGGCAGCCCACTCCAGTATTCTTGCTTTGGAAATCCTATGGACAGAGAAGCCTGGCGGGATACAGTCAAGGGGTCACAAAGAGTCAGACGTGACTTAGTGTCTAAACAACCACCACCACAACAACCCAATAGAAAATGAGCAAAGGACGTGAACAGATAGTTCACCAGACAGGAAACAGAAATAGAACATGAATATATGGAAAGATGCTCAAACTTTCTCATGATAAAAGAGATGCAGATTAAAACTGCATCAAAATACCATTTTTCATCCATCAGGCTGACAATATTCAAATGTATGACAAATCACATTAGGAAAGCTGTGAAGAAAAGAAGAAATCTCATACATTGCTGGTGAGAAGGTATATTGTTAAAACTACAATGGAGAATAATTTAGCAGAATCCTTAAAAACTACAAATGCATATTCTCTGCAACTCAACAATTCTCCTTTTAGGAATACTCCAAGGTACAAAGTAATATATCTTCAGAGTTGCTCATTCCAACTTTGATTCTAATGAAATATGACATAAACAAATATTTATTAGTAGGTTACTTGTTAAATTATGGTTCCTCCATAATTTGTAATAATATGTAAAATAGTATGAAAAACTCATGAGAGCATTTAAAGATCAAAGATATAACTTTAAGTGAATATAATGTTCAAAAATGCATTTAATATACTAGTATTTACATAAAATGGAGAAAAGTAACATTGGCTATGCACAAAAATTTTATGGAAATATAGAAGAAACCTTATCAATGGTAGTCACTTGCAAGGTGTGGGAAGTAAGTGACAAAGCATAAGGTGAGAGAGACAATTTTTGCTGTGTTTGTAACATAATTTATTTTTATAATAGAATAAAATGTCTATTCAAGAAGAAAGCAATGAAAATAATTAGATCTACATTTATTGAAATGACTGTATCAAGTGACAAAAGCCAACTATGAGTGTGTGTGTGCTTAATCACTCAGTCATGTCTGACTTTCTGTGACCCCATGGACTGCAGCCCCAGTCTCCTCTGTTCCTGGGGATTCTCCAGGCAAGAATACTGAAGTGAGTTGCCATGCCCTCCTCCATGAGCAGTGTAATTTCGTTTTTGTAAAAAGTGTATGAGTGTGTGGGGAGGCTGCTGTGTCTATTTGTGGGTGCAGAAAATGACATGTAGGCATTCATATAAAGTTTTAATATTACTTACCTCAGGAGTGTAGAGGATGTTATTACTTCTTTGGATTGTTTCTCTTGTTCAAAACAACACACTAATTTTGATTTTTTAAATTGAGATCTTTGAAAATTCAAAAACAAATTAAAACATTTTTATAGTTATATTTTGCTACAACTATAAATGAAATTTGTCCAAAATGTAAAGAAATGCGAACACATTTTATTTTGTAGATTGTCGTTTTATGGATATACGATCCAGAAAATGCGGACCCCAGTGAGTTGCTATGGAATGCCAATGAACCTTCCCTAGTAAGTGGAAATATTACTATTTTCATAGATAAAATAATATGCTACATTTCTTTTTTAAGAGCTGTGAATAATTTATTATATTTTAAGTAACCTAGAACTAAATACATTTTAATTATCCATTAAATTTAGTTTACTCATGATGGTGATTTTGAACTTGTGCTCAATCACTACAATTATAAATCTTTCTTTAGAATTGTTATTGAGCATTCTCCATATTTTCTATGAACCTCATTTTCCACGAAGGGGCTGACCATTAAAATGCTTTCAAGGTGTTTCTTGAGCACCTACCTTGAAGTCATCCTTAAAAAATCTGTCTAGTTCTTTATTGAATGCTTTGCCACTGGAGATTAATGACTTTCCTAAAAGTGCAATACAGTGCATAAATAAGTCCTTCCTTTTATCTGTTACAAATTTACCTCTTTGAAGATTCAAGTTTTTTCTTCTGTTACAATTAAAATGTACAGAAGAGAAACATAAAATGAGAAGTTTTCTTATGGGATTCTCTATGTCTTAATGAGTCTAGATCTGAGTTTTTCAGAGCATGTTGTTATGACTCATGGTAATTAAATTCACAAGTGATACACTGATAAATCAGAATGACAAACAATCCGTTGTTTTGTTTGACAGCAACTTCAGAGGGAATAAAATAAATTAATCGTAATTAAACACTTTAAGTATTACTGTCAATTTCTAGTCTTTTAAGTGAAAATATGCACAATTTAACATTATTTAGTTCATGCATACCTAATACTTTGCTTTTTTCTTTTTAATTTCCATATTTATTCATGATCATGTCATTCCCTTAAAACATTTCTCCATTACAAACAACATAGACTTTTTTTCTCAATTCATACATTTATTCATCCTTTTGATCTATCTATTTTTATTGTGGGAAAATATGCATAATATAAAATCTACCATTTTGAACATTCTTTTGAATACAATTTGAAGACATTAAATATGTTTCCTTTTAAAAAATTTGTATTGAAATATACTTGAGTTAGAATGTTATAACAGTTTCAAGTGTACAGCATAATGATTCAGATATATATATATATATATATATATATATATATATATTCCTCCTCTGTTCCCTTTGGTTACCATAGTTCGTTTTACATATCTGTGAATCTATTTCTATCTTGTATATAAATTCATTTATATCATTATTTTAGATTCCACATATAAGTAATGTCACATGATATTTCTCTTTCTCTGTCTGACTTCACTTAGTATGATAATCTCTAGGCCCATCCACATTGCTGCAAATGGCATTATTTCATTCTTTTTATGGCTGAATAATATTCCACTGTGTATCTAATAGCACAGCTTCTTCATCCATTCATCTGTCAACGGACACTTAGGTTGCTTTCATGTCTTGGCTATTGTAAACAGTGCTGCTGTGAATGTGGAAGGCGTGTATCTTTTCAAATTGTAGTTTTGTCCAGATATATACCCAGAAGTGGGATTGTTGGATCATATAGTAACTCTATTTAGTTTTTTAAGGAACCTTCATACTGTTTTCCATAGTGGCTGCCCAAAGTACAGTCCCACCAACAGTGTAGGAGGGTTCCTTTTTCTTCACACCCTCTCCAGCCTTTATTATTTACAGACTTCAATGATGGCCATTCTGACTGGTATGAGGTGATATCTCCTTGTAGCTTTGATTTGCATTTCTCTGAGAATTAGCAGTGATAAGCATCTTTTCATGTGCCTGTTGGCCATCTGTATATCTTCTTTGAATAAATGTCTATTTGGATGTTCTGCCCATTTTTTGATTTTTTTTTTTAATTGAGCTATATGAGCTGACAAATTGCTCATATTCAACTCACACCATTAACATGGCACATAAAGCCCTGAGTATCAGCAAAAACAAGACCGGGAGCTGACTGTGGCTCAGATCATGAACTCCTTATTGCCAAATTCAGACTGAAGTTGAAGAAAGTAGGGAAAACCACTAGACCATTCAGGTATGACCTAAATCAAATCCCTTATGATTATACAGTGGAAGTGAGAAATAGATTTAAGGGACTAGATCTGATAGACAGAGTGCCTGATGAACTATGGATGGAGGTTCATGACTTTGTACAGGAGACAGGGATCAAGACCATCCCCAAGAAAAAGAAATGCAAAATGGCTGTCTGAGGAGCCCTTACAAATACCTGTGAAAAGAAGAGAAGCGAAAGGCAAAGGAGAAAAGGAAAGACATACCCATCTAAATTCAGAGTTCCAAAGAACAGCAAGGAGAGATAAGAAAGCCTTCCTCAGTGATAAATGCGAAGAAATAGAGGAAAACAATGGAATGGGAAAGACTAGAGATCTCTTCAAGAAAATTAGAGACATAAAGGGAATATTTCATGCAAAAATGGGCACAATAAAGGACAGAAATGGTATGGACCTAACCGAAGCAGAAGATATTAAGAAGAGGTGGCAAGAATACACAGAAGAACTATACAAAA